CCGGGCGGGCGGCGGTGGGAGGGGGACAAGGCGGGGGGGGGGTCTCCGGGGGAGGCTCCGCTCCTCACCCCCCCCCACACACCCCAACCTTCCCCCTCTCCCTCCGCAGGAACCGGAGAGCCCCGAAGCGTCCCAGTTTCGCCTGGCGGCCGGCCGCATCCCGGAGGTGCCCTTCGGCCTCAGCAGCAGCCCCGAGGTCCTGGCCCACTACGGCGTGGGGGGCAGCACCGTCACCATCTTCCGCAGGGTGCGTGGGCTTGGGGGGGGGCACGGGGGGGACCATCCGCGGCACCGCCGCTGCCCTGGGACCCGGGGAGGGACTGCTCCCCGAGCAAAAGGCTCTATCTACAAAATTAACGTGGTGGTTTAGGGGTTCCCCCGCCCGCCGGTTTTGGGGAGAGGAGCTCTAGGGCAAGTGTCTCAAAGCTGCCTGCAGTCACCGTCCTGAAGAAATGAAATCTCTGGGCAGGAGGGGTAAAGAAGAAGGTTAAAGCTGCTCATCTCACCTCAGAGCAAACAAACAAAAAAAGGCTTGTTATTGTCAGTCGCTTGTCCACCTAAAAAGCACATCTGTAGAGCTTCCTGCCCCGAAGAGGTCTTTTGCTTTTCCTGTGCAGAGTGCCCATCACGAAGACACGCAACACATATTACACCTGATAAGATTCTCCATTTTAAGACCTCCCGTAGATCTGGTTCAGCCCCTAGTGCTTTGCAAAGAGTGATGTCTGTGTCTCTGAGTGACCTGCCTGGAGCTCAGCGTTACTTGGATGGGGTTTCCTTGGCTTTTGGAAGGCTCCTAAGACACAGGAAAAGCATCTAGAGGCCATGTTACAATGGATCAACACAGCAGGCTTGATAGCAAATTTTGCCAAGTGTCACTTCAGGCAGAGCAAAGCTGTCTCCCTGGGTGCACAACTTTTCCATCGTGACTGAAACCAGACCCAGACTGGGTGTCTGCAGTTACAGATGCTCTGCCACCAACAGAAATCCCAAACACTCTTTTCTGTCTCCTGTGCTGTGGTTTGTAGAGTTAGTCCCTAAATACGCTTTGGGCATGGGGCCATTAAAAATGTTGCTTTGCAGATTCTTGGGGAAGGATGCTGTGCGAGATCAAGTCTTTGTTGACTCCAGCTGTAAGTGCTGGTGCCTCACTGAATTTGAAGCTATGTTTGGTGAAATTTATGGAGATGATATCAGATATTGTGTCACCAGAGCTCTAAGCACACAGGGTGGGTGGGCGGGATGGGGACACACTAAACTAAATGTGCCACCTTGGCCAAGTTCTAGATCCACATTGTATGAAAGTTGGACAGAGCCAGTTTGTTCCCCTTTCTTTCTCATCATTTCCTGCACCATGTTTACCACTGGAATTATCCAAATAATTCAAAGAGAATGATCTAAGAGTGAGCAATAGGTAGGCAGGTCTTTTTATTTAACCTTTTATTTGCTATGTGAAGATGTTGCAATTTGAAGCAACACCCGTCTTAGTTTTGGTTCTTAGTCATGGTGGCTTTCTTCCCAAAATGAAAAGATCCTTTGTTTTTGAGCTGTGGCAGATAGTGAGGATGACTGCATTGGGAGGGTGCTTGATAAAAGAAAGTGTCTGGATTGTTGGAATTTGGATTATATTGAATATTCTTTGTTCACAGTCCAGTTTTTGCAGCTGAACTCTTGTTTAATAGGGAAAAACAACCAAGATACTAACACACTAGTCAGGTTCAAATGTGGTTGACAATGCACTTGTCTAATTGTCAGTTTTTCTTAAATTAAGTTATTCAGATACATTATTTTTCCTTTTATTCTGTGCTGAATACTGTGTAGGAGTAAGAGGCCAGAGATAAAAAGGAAAAGAAAAAAGAACTGAGACAGGAACTTGGAATCAAATACCCATTTGAAGAATACAAAGATGCGTGACCAGGACAGCAGTGAATCAGAGGCATAAACTCATTTTTTCTTTGCTTTTGCAGAGTATGAAACATGTATAATGCTTAGACGTTTAAAAGATAATTACAGTAGTAGGAGGAGCTGCTGTCAACTGGTGAGACTTCTTTGCATGTAGCAGAGGGAAATTGTTCTATTCACTTGAGGAATCTGGCCTGATAGATCAAAAAAGAACATAATTAACAGATGCTAATAAGCTGATTATATGGAATGACGAAGACATTTTGATCAGAGCTTCAGCTATTAGATGCAGAATATTTTCCAGCCTTATTTTCTTGAAATCATAAATGTCAAGTTCAGATTTAGGATAGTAGTATCCCAAAATGGATATCAGGTGTTTCCAGAAGCCCATGAAAGTCAAGAAAAGACTTTCTGTGGAGTCCAGGGTGCTTTGGATTGGTTCCCAAGGCCTGTCTGATCTCACCCACCCAGGTGTTGTGCTGCCCTGATCCCATTTACTTGAGTAGAGTTGGCCTTTCATTTCATCCAGGAGCAAATCTGTGAGAGGATTCAGGCTGCACAGTCTGAAAAGCAGCAGTTTGAATTGCCACTGTGGCCCCTTACCAGATCAAAGACCTTGCCAATGACCACAGAACAGCAAAAAGGGCTTCAGATGTCTGCACACCACTGGAAAAACTAACACAAGCTTTTTCAGAGGTCGTTCAGATGCAGAGAATAAAATCTGGGGTGTGCGTGTGGACCTTTCCTCAGCCCCAAGAACCTCATTCAACATGGGTATCAAAGGCCTTCAAATCTCAAACTTTGATCCTATTGCGTGTCAGAGCCCAGCGTCCCCATGGCTCAACTCAGTCACGTCTTGCCGTGGTCCTGCTCAGCAGCTCTGCCCCTTTGGGTGGTTTAGCTATATAATTCAGTGATGGCCTTCTTTTTCTCTGTTTACCAGGTCAAGTAAACCTCAATAAAATCATATCGTTTGGACAAGGGGGTGGAGTGTGGGGAGATGTGTGGCAGGATGGATTTTCCTTTAAAGCTAAAATGTGCTGGGCTTGATTTTTTTTCTTTCTTTTTTTTTTTTTTTTTTTTTTTTTTTTTTTTTTTTTTTTTTTTTTTTTTTTTTTTTTTCTGCTGTACTGGAAAAAAAATAAACTCTTTTTATTGGAGAGATTTCCTGCTTGCACAATGTTTCCAGGAAATCCATACGGGCCTATGCCAATGTTTATTACTTGTAGAAGAAATAGAATAAGCAGATGAAGATTTAAGAAAGGGATGTAAAGCCAAAATCAATGTGAGGAGTTAGGCTATTTAATGATCTCTCCCCACAATGCCTAGAATAGTTGATCAGCTAATCCTCCCTGTCTCCAGTGCATCAGGAGCTGATACTGTAGGGATGTCTGGAGACCTCAGTGGTTTCTGTTATCCCATGAGTTTGCCTTGTCCTTAGGAGACTGAAGGGGTGTGGAAGATCCTTATCATGAAGTGCAGGCTGATCTCTGTAGGTCTAACAGTTCTGGACCTCCAGAAGTGGGAATTATGTGGTGGGGATGAGAGGAAGACAGTGTCCCAAGGGTGGGTGTCTCCATCAGTGACAACCATCAGCGCCTCTGGAGAAGGTGCTAAGAGGAGAGGACATCTGTGACGCTGAGTGTCTTTGCATGTCTTCAGGTAGACAATGACCGGAGGGATCTGGATTTGGACAGCAAAGATATTGATGCTGAGAAGCTGATTCGTTTCGTTCGGATGAATGAGCTCCGCCTGGTGACAGAGTACAACCCTGTGGTAATTACCAGCTCTCCTTAGCCCTCACCCTGATGCTTGGCCTCCTCCTCATGGATGTCCTCTGGCACAGAACTTTGCACACCCAGATGTGTGCAAGGGTTGTGGCGACGGTGTGGATGGGGTTGGGGAAGCCACACAACTCTTTGCTGCTACTCCATATAGGGAGTGGAAGCAGATGCTGTGCTGGGGCATGTGAGTGGGGTGGGGAGAGGAATGGCAGTTCCTTTACACTTCCAATAAATTTGGGGTGTTGATAATGTCCTGGTTTGAGGTGGAGGGTTCCACTTCTTACCACTCCTGCTGGCACCCCTTCTTACCACTCATGCTGCTTCCTTCCATGGGCACTTGCCATGTTGTGCTTGCAGATGCTGCTCAACCGTGATCCCCTCTCTTTGGCTGAGAAGCCTTGGGAAACATGGAAACTAGAGTGACCTACTCCAAGAAGGCAGGCTTTTCTTTATCACCGAGCTCAAAGGGCTTGACATAAGGCTGGCTATTTGAAGGCATATTCAAGAGCCAGTTGGAAACTTCCCAAGCAAAATTTTCCCCATCCCCTCCATTCAGAATTCATCAGTTCAACAACAACAATAATCAGACATAGGATGCTTCCATGTTGGCAATCATCATTAGCTCACCCACTTGACTAGTAGTCACTGTGCCTCAGTGACTCTCCCCTACAGAGGGTGACCAGGGATTTAGGCTCCCCTAAAATCTCAGCAGTTCACTGGGCTCATAGCTGCGGAGCCAATAGGTCTTAGAAGCTCAGATGGCCACAAGGCTGAGACTTTCTAATTACTGATGGGATCTTTTGCAGAATTCTGAATAGCTGCAGCAGTGCTGACCAGGTTCAATTTATTCAAACGAGAATGGCCCAACCTGTTTCAAAGCTATACCTTTTCAAACCAATACCAAGGATCAGCTAAGAGGGCTGCCACATTCCCCAGCTCAGGTGCAGCCTGCCAGCTGAGAGAGCATTTTGTTTTGGAAGTGCAGCATTTTGTTCCCAAAAATGAAATACTGTAGAAATTCTGTTTCGTTTATTTTCTTCCTCTTCTCTTCTCTTCTCTTCTCTTCTCTTCTCTTCTCTTCTCTTCTCTTCTCGCTTCGCTTCGCTTCGCTTCGCTTCGCTTCGCTTTTCTTCAAAGCAGATTTGTTTTTTTATCTTGATGAGGGATGTGAAAAAAACATTTCAAAATCATGGAATATTTCTAGGGACAGAAAAGCTATGTCCTGCCTCACTGTCCTTACAGCCCTTTGAGAACACCCAAGTCACATCAGTGGGGATGTTCTTGTTATCTTTATAGGTCCCAGGTCTTCTGAAGCCTTACAGCCTCCCCTGCATCTTTTGGCAATTCATTAGGTTGTGGCCCTTTATTCACGTGTTTCTGCTGATGCTTTGGGCTCTCTCTCCGTTGTATCCTGTTTGGCACCCAGGCTGTCTCCCTGTCCAAGAAGACCTGAGCTCTTCAGCTGGTCCCCTCCACCCTGACTGGCAGTTACACATGTTGTTCCAGTTTTTTTCCCTGACACTCTGGAGTCCTATCAAGGTGTTGCAATTAACAGTGCCTCCTGCAGTCCCTGGCCTGAAGCCTTCCCAGTTCCTCTAATATAGCTTGTTTTTTTGTAAATATTTATTCCCAGTGCATATGCTGTTTACATCTAAGAATGCTGCAGAGGCTGGGGTCACGCGGATCACATGGAGCACTGCCAAGAGTTTCTCTCCCCATCCTGGGGCCCTTACTGTTTCGCCCACATAATTCAGGAATTTTTAGGCAATGCTTACCCTGTGTGCTTTCCAGGAGGGTCAGATGTGACCCGGCCGTGTTGATGAGCTCCGCTGATGGCTCTTACACAAGGTTTCGTGGACAGGCACACCTTTGTGTGGAGCTGCCGGAGGAACTGTGGCTCCGGCCCTGCCTGCTCTCAGACCAGCCTTGTTGTGACCCTTGGTCCTGGCCGGCTTCACCCTCACCTTCGGCCCCATCCTCTCCCATGGGGTCTTCTAACGCTCCTCAGCCTTGCTTTGCATCCCTTCCACTCTCTCCTGCTGCATCTGAGCATCACCAGAGAAGAGAAGGGACACAAAATTTCTGAGAAACATTAGGCTAACAGCAGAGCCCCAGCTGCCAAAAACTAGATGCTTTTCAGTGCCTTTGCCAGCACGCACTCCCTGACCCCTTCTGTATTACTCCTGGAGCGTGTGGAAATTTTCTTCTCCCACTGGCGGGGAGCAGCCCAGTCTGCGCCTCCGTGGTTTTGGTGGCAGAGGGGAGGCAGCAGGTCTGGCCCGGCTGCTGTTTAGTTTGAGGGAGAGGCTGCAGGAAGCGGGCAGGAGGAGAAGTGAGATGACGGGTGAGTGCCTGGAGATGGTGCAGCAGCTTCTCGGGCAGTGCCAGCCCTGTCTCCTCACAGAGGGGCCAGTGTGTGCTGCCTGCTTGGACCTTGCTCAGGGGGATGAGGGACAGCCAGGTCTTCTCCCACTGCAGGACTGCAGAGGCAATTTTAACCCTCAGGACTCGGGAATGTTCAGGCCCTGGGGTTGCTGAAACTCACCCCCATCCTACACACAGCTTAATGCTAAAGAAAGGAAACAAGGGGAGACACCAACCCTAACACCACAAATCCTTCCCGCTTTCTTCCTCCTATTTCAGATGTGTGCTGAACCTCAGCAGTTCAGGGCACCCTTATGTTCAGTGTTTGCTGTCCTTCTCTCTCCATTTCCTTGCTCCTCTAGACTTCAGTTTGCTGTATCCAGGCAGCCCTCCTGCCTCATCACTGACTCGTTTGAGGCAGGTGATGAACCCTTGTGGTCTTCAGACTCTCATATTGGGAATAAGCAAAACCAGAAGTTTTGAAGCTTCCACAAAGAACCCAGATTGAATCACTCCTGCTTTAAAGAAAGCTGTCCTGCTTGTGAGGCTGATTTACAAAGAAATCTCATCTGAGACATCAGGATTGATGTCCGTCTGGCAGGGCATCCAATGAGGATTGAATGTTCTCAGTCTCCTTGTCTGTGTGTTTCTCTCTCTGTCTGTGCTGGCTGTGTTTTCGGCAGACAGCAGTAGGTGTGATGCAGAGTTCGCTCCAGCTTCACCTGCTCCTGATCACAGACAAGATGTCCCCAAAACACCCTGAGCGAATGCGCAAGTTTCGGGCGGCTGCAGAACTCTTCAAGGGGAAGGTAAGTCCAAACAGAGCGGAAGGGGAGCCATTAGCGAGAAAAAAGGGAGAACAGTGATTTCTGCCATGGATGGGGAGGACGTAATCTTCTCTGTGCTTTAAGGGGGCAAAGGCCGAGTGGTAGGAAAAGAGGATTAGCTGGACGTCTTAAGTGGAGCGGTTGGATCTGTTCACCTTTTGCCAGTTTGCCTCCTTGTGGGGAAGATATGCTCTGCATCCCTGGAAGTGTTCAAGACCAGGCTGGATGGGGCTTTGAGCAGCCAGGTCTAGTGGAAGGTGTCCCTGCCTGTGGCGGGCATGGGGGCTTGGAACTAGGTGATCTCTAAGGTTCCTTCCAACCTAAACCATTCTATGATTCTGTGATCCTGCTCCTCTGCTCCCTCAGTGGGACATCATGTACTTTCTTCCTTGCTTCTGGTTCAGTTTTGTTCCCTTGCTGTGGGAGAGGACAAACAGCTGCTGCACTTCAATCTGGTGATGGTTGCATTCCAGTGGTGTGAGAGGTGATTTTGTGTATACAGCTTGCAAGATGCCAAGGAGAATTATATAAGTGACCAGACAGCAATTAATGTCATGGTGCTTCTTTAACCCTTAGCCTTCTGGGTGAATCCTGGGGAAACAGCTATTTTAAAGAAGTTGCAAATGGGTTTGCTGGATTTTCCACACTAAGGTGATGGGATATATTGGGTCTTTCAGAGAAATTTTGCCTGGTTCCCACCTCTCTGTGGGCAGAGCTCCCCAGATAGTAAATCTTCCCATGGCTGATTCTCTGCCAGCAGCTGGATTACAGGGGAATTTGTGTCCAGGGAACAGAGGAAGGAACTGACAAGCAAAGGAGCACTGGGAACAACAGGAAAGCATTTGGGGCAAGGGAGAACAGCAGACAGGAGGAGGAAGAAGGTTACAGCAGCAGGGAGGGCTGAGTTCACAGGCAGTGGAAGAGGAATAAGAGTGGAGCAGGAAAGAGTTGGGGTTTGAGAACAAGAACATCTGCCTGCATCTGTTTGTGGTACTGAAGGGGTAGATTAAATATCAACTATATCCTGATCTTCAAATGGAGAGGCCACCTCAGAACCGTGCACCCTCAAAAGTCTTGAGACTTGTTTATAGCAGGACTACTTTGGATGTTGCTACCTGTCCCACCCATTGTCAAGACAACAGGCAGAATACATAGTGATGAATACATAGTGATAAAAGAAAACTCATTTACCTGAAAAATTCCAGCCATTTCATGTGAGCTGTGTGTTATAGTGACACCATTATCACTGTCCTCCATGGGTAGCAGAGTCAGATACAGGTCTCCCTCAAGCAGCTAAGTCTTCTGACACAGCACATTGCTGTTTAGCATCACTACCCTTTGCCGATCCAGCTGCAGCTAGTTTTGTTTTCATGCGACATGCTTAGATCTGAGACATTGTGCATAATTTTCCTAGAAATACTTCACAAAACATTGCATAAAATGTTGTGCTGAAGTCCAGATAATTTATGAATTGCCAGCAAGCCAAATCTAACTTTTTTTTCATTCATGCAGGCAAGTTTCCCACCGAATCAGTCTAGAGGTTTGCCAGAGTAAAATACAGAGGTTAAAGATGTGGGATTTAACTAATTTTTTTCCACTTTACTGAAGTGGTACTGCAGGACATGTGGACAGGTACTTCATGAAGGGACTTCATGAAGGGGTCTAATAAGTTGTTTCTCCCAAAGGAGTGGCACTCTGAGGAGTAAACTGTGATTTGGACTGCTCTGTTACCAAGCAGTAAGATAGAGCTAGGATCCCTCTATTTGGGTCTCAGATCTGGATACTAAGGAGTAAGCAGAGCGATATGCCCACTCAGGTTTTTTCTCCATTACTCTGTCATGTAGAAAGCCATGGATTAGTTTGGGTATCAGAAGTAGCCACTCCACAGTACCATGGAAATCTCTGCTGCCTCGTTTTCCTCAATGGAGTTATCTGTTGTCAGGACTACCAAGTCAACTTAGGTTTACTTCACAACAAATAAAGTAATGGGTAGATTTTGCCTTTTTTGCAGCTCGCAGATTGTCTGTGAGTAAATGCAAGCTTCTTGACTTGAATTTTATTCAGGATTACCAGTGAATAATTCATAACCTGTGGGCTGGTGATGAAAGGCTTGTTTGTACTGCGGGGTGAGTGCTGTCAGTGGTTTGAGTGAGGAATCATTGCCGTGCAGTGCAGAGGTGTTCAGGCTCCCTGTGAGCACGTACCACTGCAGCCAGCAGTGCTCCACAGTGACTGCAGAGCGCTGGAACAGGGTCGGGAGACTCAGTGTGTGTTGCATCTTCTCCACAATGCCAGTGGAGAACACGAACAGAGCCTCAAAGGGGTTCCCAAGCAGGAAAAGGGGTACCCATCCTTTCACACATCTCTGCTGCTCTCTGAGGGAAGAGGAGTCCTTGTCACTGCCATCACCAGGTGGAGGGAGAAGAGAAACTTGTTGCTTGAATTGATGAAGAGAGAAAGAGGAACCGCTGCTGCTGAGTGACTGACCCCAAAGAGTGAAGGAAATCATAGAATCATTTAGGTTGGAAAAGACCCTTAAGATCATCAAGTCCAACCGTTAATGGGTCACCAGGAGGTGATTCACCTGCCAGATCCTGGATTATGGCCCCTTCATCTCTGGTTTGTGATCTTTTCATTTTTCCCTGAGAGGAAGCTGAGGTTTTCAGCTGGGGGATCCCTGAGGCTGTATGGTGAGGACCATTATTTGAAAACAGCTTGAACTGCACCCTGAGCAGCAGTGAGTGTCTGAAGGCGGTCTAGATTCCTCTAGATTTTGTTCTGGAACCTGGGGCCTACAAAATGCTGGAGAGGAAAGTGCAAATGTTAGGTGATGCTAAGCCAGCAAGAGCTGACAAGAATAAGAAGAAATGTGTTACTTTTCTAGCTGACACTGAGAAAGAATTGTGGGTGGGTAACAGTGAACAGACAGAGCTCAGAGCACTGCAGCTGCAGGAATGAATCCACCAGCCTTCTTGGAAGGATCCCACTGCAATCAAATATGTACTTATTTGAGAAAGTACTGCCAAGAGTCCAGGCTTTCTACTGGAAAGGAAGTGTCAGTGTTCATGTTGCTGAGCCAAACTGGCATCAACATCTTCAGTTTTCTTTCCACAGTATCAGAGTATAACATGACAATTACAGCTGGTGGACCTCGAGTGTTTGCTCAGGTTTCAAGAAGGTGATGCTGGGAGTTACAAAAGCAGCTTTTGCTGCAACTGATATAACTGGTTTACAATGTCAGAATGATTTGGGTGGAGATGTTTGCAAAGTCCCTTTTAATTTATATGTAGGCCCATTTAGAAATAGGTTCTGAGAAACTACTGAGAGTCCTTCAGGAGTTCTTCCATGGAAATGAAAGGACAGAGCCTTTTCTCTTGCCGGCAGTCATTCATACACTTTTTATTTTTCTTGTCAGACATTGATGGCTCCAGAACTGAAAGAGATAATATTTAGAGTTGCCTCTTTTAGCCCTAAACAGGAGAACCCGTAAATGCGGGTTTTCTACATCACTTAGCAGATATCTACAATAAAATTGTTTTTGTAGCTTACTTTTTAAATAATTTCATGAGTTTTATAAACTCATGCTTTCCTTTTGCTTTGATGTATTGTGTAAGCTATGTAAGAAATTACTCAAACTTCAGAATTTGGTCTTTTTGCTTATACAGTCTCCTCAAAGAATGAAGGTTGCAGCTCCATGAAGTTCAAAGTCAAATGCTGGACATGATGCTTGATCATCCTTCCTGTTTGTCTTCCTTAGAGGAAAAACTGAGCAACATCAAGTTGGTTTCTACCATTGCAGTACTATTTTCAATTAACTTTAATTCCTTGGGCAATAACATCATTCCCTATCTTGTGTTTACTGGGAACTCGATGTTCTAAAAGCACTGGGCTAGGAATCGAGTGGTCAAGACATCAAGACAGCACCAGGGTACAAAATTTTCTGAAAGGGAGCTTGTTGCAGGTGACAGTGCACAGATGATATCACACTGTGTTCTGTGGTCTGGCGTGTATTGTGTGGAGGGGAGAATTTGTGTTGGGAGTTCCTCATCCATGCAGGAGAACCTTCACTGCCTCTAGCAGCAGACCTCTGAAGGCAAAATATTGTTACAAAATGAAACAATTTCATGGATATCATTTCAGAAAGAAATGAACAGCTATTGTACAGCATAGCGTAAATTAGAAAATGAAATTTCTGTTTTGGCTGGAACTACCTGGTTTCTAGCAGTGATGAGAGAGTTGGCGTTGTAAGTGGGATTTGTTTTGGTGAATTATAGCTTTGGTAAGTTGTCTGAGCTAAGGCTTTAGGCTCTTTTCAGCACTGGTAGAGAAGGACACATGTCCTTCCACCCCTTGTAAAATAAGTGGAATCAAGTGCCATTTATTGTACCATTTATTGTAGAGGTTGCCTAGATGACTGGCTGAGAAAAGACTTAAGGTCTGGATGGCAGAAGTTAGGCAAGGTGAATCTTGTCTCATGGTCAGTATAATTTTCCATGGCCACTGCATTCATTCTTTATGATTAGAGCTGGCTGGGAATCTCTGAACAAAATAAATTCCTCACGAGAAAATGCCAGTGCCTCCAGGTGGCATCTATTGTGGAAATATCCTCATTGAGAAATCTGCTTGATTTCCGGCTGCTGAGGAGACCAGGCTTCCAGTGCTTGTGGTCTCAGTACCAGTGCACCTTAGAGACTGCCTCACGGGTGTGACTTTGAAGCCACACAGGCCTTGGCAGGACCCCTGGAGCACATCCAGCATAGGATGTACGGCCTGTCCCTTTGCTGAAGGAGGATTTATCCCACATCACAGCACCCACCAGGAATGTGTCATTCTAAAATGCATGTGATAAGCATTAAGGTATCTTCTTTTGAGCGACAGTGGACAAATGCAATTGCCGTCTGTCCTGTGTTTTTGGAATATAAGAGGGGAAGGGAACTTTTGCTGTACTTTGGCACCCTGTAACTCCGTGACCCAAATGTGAGTCATTAGAGAGATCCAAGTCAGGAACTGTGTCCCTTCAACTGCCTAGCTGATGGGACAGTTGTGTCTGTGTGTTTTTGTTTTCTTCTGTAAGGAAAAAGGTGTTTGGAGTTCTAAACCCCAACCTTTTTATTCTTGTATTCTTACTCTATTATTTATATTCATGGATAAAATATGTATAACTTTTTAGTTTTTGGAATTTTAACAAATGCTGGAAGCTTGGTAAATTGAAGTCTGGTGACTAACATTTGTTTATATTACCATTTTAAAATGCTAGCCATCTTTTTTAAAGGTGGAGGAGATTTTGTATAGAAAGTGACAACACTTAACAACCTCGGTATTCTAAATGTGTTTGTTGTCTAGGGAATCTTTCACAGAGAAACCCAAAAGCTGGTGAATGAACTGGTGAAAATGTGATACTGTTTCCTGTACCAACCCTCTGAAAGTGCTTCCCTCCAAACTGGCCTCTGTTTCCAGTTTGCTAGTTGGAAGAAGAGCCCTAAAACTAGGTATTGCTGCTCCAGCTGAAAGTCTTTTCAATTGGGTCCTTAGAACTGGGACCCTTAGATTTGGGACTGTTCTCTAGCTTGGTGTTTTATCCTGCTCACTAGCATGTTGCCCCTGGGGCACAGTTGACTTTTGGAAGAGAAATTGCAAGTGGTAAATATCACATATCCAGTGAAAGTGTTGTTCCTGTTTCTGTATCGCAGTGATTATCTGCAATTAAACCTTAAACTAAGCTAACTATCCTTCCTTCCCATAGGATGTTGCCTATTTGTTTTTTTATAGAACATAAATTTAATATAGTAAAGAATTTGAGATTTACCAAGTTTATTTTTGGAGAAGAAAAAAGTTTTGAACTAACTGGAGTGTTCTTGATTGAAAAGAAAGAAAAACATGAGTCACAGCCTGGGAACTGGGCACATAATCTTCACATCGCATGACTTTTCTTTTTTTAAACTCCTCTTTTTTCTTGTGTAAGTTAAGTCATATCCATGTCCATAGGTACATCGAATATGCTAGGCCCAGTAGACTTCATAGGATAAAGAAAAGATAAAATCCAGTATGTTAGCTGGATGTTTGTTTCATTAACTTGGGTGTCACCTGCTGAAGGATTCTATTTAATCAAGTCACTGATTAAATTTTCAATTGCTGCATTTATTTTTTTTTATATAATTTATATGTGTATTTAGTATTAACAGATAATTTTAAAAAGATTTTTGAGATAGATGTATATTTTATTGATAATCTTTCAGATTCCAACATTTTCAATTTGTATGAATTCTAACTGCATCTGAAATCTGCTCTAAAAATAAAATCATGGAGTTGATCACCAATTCTGATAACTCCGTACTATTGAATTATCCCAGCAGAATCCTAATCCTTGGCTCCAAGACTATTTGGGAACCCAGAAAACTGTAGGTCATTCTCATCCTGATTTATTCATTGTTGGGCTTCTCTCCTCAGGTCTGAACAACTCTTCACTGGGCTGGACTGTTTGGACACCAGTGTCTCACTGACAACACCTATTTCCCAAATGATTGTATCTTCATTTCTATTCACTACAGCTCACTTAAATACATCCTTTGTGTTTGGTACTCTCATGTTCTTATCCTTGCAGGCTCCTGCTGCCCTATACTTTATTTCCACATTCTTGCAATTGGTAGGTTTTCTCTAAATCTTTATGAAAATATCACTGCTATTCTTCATATGATCACTGTTTGGGGATCTGCTTTCTCTCTCAATTTCTGTTTTGCTCACCTTTCCTCTCCTATTTCCATCACAGATTCTATTTATCCTGTTAGACAGCAATTTGAAGAGCAATGAACAAACAGTGTCATTTTTCAAACTGAAGAAGTCCCAACTGCCAGCTCTGGCTTTATTCCACTCACCAGACGAGGAGCAGGATGTGTTGACTCTAGATGAAGTCTCTGTTGAGCGTGTACAGGACTTCTGTAATCGCTTCTTACAAAGAATGCAGAAGGTAAAGGGGGACTCCTGTACAGTCTACAGGAAGTGGGGATCTTGAAGGGTGATGCTGTTTCTCACAAGGCTCTTGAAGAAGATGACTTTGGTTCCTTGAACTCCTCCTCCCCACCCCTGCCACCTTCTCTTTCATTTTCATTTGCACCTGAATATCAGAAAAGCATCAGATCTAGAGCAGAGCAGAGATGAATGTCTTTGCAGAGTCTCTTTCTTCATTGACCTCTGCCTTCTAGTCTACAGCAGGAAGACTTCACTGGCCTCTACAACTGCATGAAGGTCTTGGTGAAGCATCTATTTTATGGGAACAGCAGGGGAGACAGAGTGAAGGGTGCTTTTAGACACTGAGAATGGGGGTGTGGGATGGCAGCACATGAGAGGATCAGAGAGACAGTGGCATGGATAGGAAGGAAATCTATCAAGAAGGCCACAGAACAGAGTACACAGATAATGGCTCAGGACTCTACTGGAGGTCTCTGCTGGGAGAGAGACAATTTAATCTCCATGTTCATTCAGTGTTAAGAGTGCTCTCTCTGTGAAAGCTCATCTTGCTATAGCACAGAAGCATTGTGTGTCAGGACGCCATGTTGTGCAACTGCAATGGGATAGGCAGGGCAGTGGCATAGAGAGCAGAGGGAGGTATTTAAGTTGGGTTATTTCCTTTTATCACTGTGCTGAGAAACCGAGCAACTTCAAAACTGATTTCATACCTCTAATATGTTTTAGAAAGAAGACAAACCCAAGGAGAAGAATGAGGAGCTCTGAATCTTTCTCAGCCAACAGGATGACTGTGCCCAGAGTCATCTGTTTCTGATGTATGAAGAGTTCACTGAGCTCTGCAGCTCAGGAATTCCTGGAATAGTAGGATTAAGGGGCCAAGTCAGATTTCCATCTCCGTGCTATGTACATATATGCTGTCTGTCCTGTCTAGGAATCTCTTCTCCCTTCTCATTTGTTGGCTCCAGCTCTCTTTTCTCAGTACTCCAGGAGCTCTGGTATTGCACTACACTGTGTTGTTCCATGTCACCTTTGATGGAGCAAAGTGTGATGTAGCAAAATGGCAATATCAGAGATACAGCTTGTAGTTCTCAGAGATCTGTTTCCCTCATTCTTTTTGCTTTTGGTGCCATGCTGTGATCCACTGACACTCTCCTGACATTAGGAACAGATTGGTTGCTTGTCTTCACATGAACTTTCCCATTTATTTTACTAAATAAAGCAGAAAGTACATAGCCTGAATTTTTATGCAAATAAAGTGATTTCCCACTCCCCATGTCTTTCACGTAAGGACAAAGCCTGTGCATTTCTGAGGGAATAAGCTCAAAAATCTCCTTTCACTGAATTTAACCAGGCTTGCAATTGCCTAACCAGTCAGACTGGTTGTTAAGAATCATTCCTCATGGAACTGGACCCATCATCAACAGATATTTCCACCAGGATGAGAAACTTCTGTGAAGGTTTGCGATCAGAACGACACTGGGTACAGCAGATCTGAGCTGGTGCAGCAAAAATGAATGAGCCTAAGATGCAGATTGAGGCTAAGAGGAATGGGAACTGTGGCAGAAGAGCAGTAGAAGATTGCATTACAAGATAGGGGTTTTCTCCACAATTGCTTTAGAGGGAAAGGCTAATGTCTATGTATTGACCTCAGACATGCCTCGGAGGTCCTAGTGCTGGTGTACAGGGGTTGGGGACTTTGCAGGTGTGGTGTATGAGCCATCCCTGTCCTGCTGTACTAGATGCATGCAGTAGGCTTGCCTCATTCTTGGCTCAGCATCCTTTGGCATGAAGTATGGATGCTCCTGTCAAACAGTGACTGCATTGTCTCTCAGGGCTTGAGAGACTTGGCTTGGGACTGGGAGCCTAAGAGAAACCTCAGCCCTTTCTCAGAGATTAGCTCAAGGCAAAGTACTGGAAATAGAACGAAGTTGTTCTGGGGGATGAGGCAAACACAGCTTCCCACCACAGAGGGAGAAGTCAGGAGCTGGAAGGGATGCAAAGTAACTGCCAGCCACCATGACGAGGACTGCAGGAGGGAGGCCCTGAGTACAATAGAGAGGCAGGTGCCAGCCCTGTGTAAGCTCTTGCCTCTTAAATGTGGATCAAGCTGATGTCTTCCATCTCCCTAAGGCTCTGTCTCCCATGCAGCTGGACTTACCTCCTTTAGTGCTCTACCCTCCTAAAGTAAAACCAGTGCTGTAAGAATTGGTGTGTGGAATCAAAATTGTTGCAGATTTCCAAGGAAAATGGATATGACGGAAACAGTATTCAGGATTGTACCTTTTGTTGGCAGGACTGGGAAACTGTCTTTTTGCATAGAGAGCTCTCCCTTAAGAGGTAGGGCGGTGGGCAATATGGGGTCTCAGAAGCTCCATGATCAATGCAATAACCTAGAATTGTTTCCTAAATGAGGCCGTTCAGAAAAGAGAAGGAGAGGAGAGGAGAGGAGAGGAGAGGAGAGAGCAGAAGGGTTGTACTGCTTTCTCTGCAGTAAGGTAAAGTGGGAAGGTTTTCTGTGGGGACATCTGCGAGGAGCCTTGGCGTTGTAGATGTTTCCAGTGTCACGCACCTCTGTGGTCCAGACCAGTGTGAGGAGAACCGGCCCGCTGCATGGGTGTCTGAGGTTCATGTCTTGGCCATGTGCGGACACAACAGCTGCAGGAATTGGGCACAGCGACGCGACTCTTCC